AGCAGCAGCAGCAGCAGCAGTCGCAGCAGCGGGCACGAAACAAATGAAAAGAAAAATTGCTCACAAAACATTTTTCATTACGTGATTTTCGAGCATGCCAATGGCAGGACGGCGGGAAAGGAAAAAGGAACGGTGGCGAAGAGGGGGACTCCCAACAGCCGAACAACCGAAGTGGCGACAGCCGGCAAAGTGCCATGTATACAACAGGAACACGGGAAGGGGTTAACAGCAGCTATAAGGATCCGATCTGAACCCAAAAGCGATCGTTTATGCTGAAAGAAAAATTTTTGATTAAGAATATGTTGAAATTTTAATCAAATATTTTATAATATTATAAGCCAAAAGTTTATAACTTTGTGAAGAAGACATTTTCGACCCTAGAAATCATATATCATATATCCGTATCAATCTATTTAGCCATCTCCGGTTAAAAAATTAATTGTTCAATTTTTTTTTTAAATTTCAAATTTTATAAGGGGTTACATCTTTAAAATTGTGAAAAAATTTCAATTTTCTAAAATTTTAAATTGGATAGATAGATTTGTTAACCTAATAAAAACTAACATAGGACAGCTGTCTAAATTTAAATCAATGCTTTTTTTTTTGCTTAATTATGAGTTTTTTCAATGAAGATTTATAAAAAAAATCTCATAAAAATAGCGATAAAGAATGCGAATAGTTAAAGCTACGTAATGATCGATTTCTGATTCGATCCTATAGCTATATTTATAATTCATACTGCAATGTAGAATTTTGTATTAATTTATTTATTAATTATATTGTTTCCTTTATTAGTATGTAAATTACCATCCTAAACTTATATGCTTATACCAAAAGTTTAAATTTATTAAACTGAAGACAGAACTGAGGTCAGGTTTATTCTTTTCTGAGTGTACAGGTTTTTGGGATTCGCCTTTGGATCTTCGCCTTGCCTTTTGCATTCCCACACGCGATCGCAATCGCAGTCCAAAAGCCAAAAGATACAAGCCGAGAGCCGAGAGCAGCTAAACAGCAGATACAAATGTATCTATGAGCTGCAGTCGCGACTCGCGACTCAATTACAATTTATTAAAAGCCGCGCAAACTGATTTATAACCAGCGAGTCATCGAAGGAAGATGCGGCCAAGGGATGCCTAGCTTTTCTTTACTACAATCCAAGGACAGTGGGATAGGTCACATAGCAGCCTTTAAAAGGACCTCTTAAAGATTTTATTCACTTTATTTTGAATTAAAAATTTTAATGAATAATTTCTATTATAGAATTTTTAAGTTATTAGCAAATACATAATCGAAACTATTATGGAATTGAATAAAGATATAAAAATATACTAAGAAATACACATTCATTTATTTAAAGAGAAAATTGTATTGAATTATTTATAATATGATGCAACTATGTATGTAAAATATTAATAAGGATATTATAAAAAAAATTAAGGCATTTATCAAAAATATAAAAAAATCTGTATTTAAATTATATCATAATTGCAAAGACTATAAATCATAATAATTAATATTTTCAAAGACTTAGTTTAGGAATTTAATATGTAATAATCAAAGATTTTTATTGTAAAAACTTGCTGAGCGGTTGTATATATTTTGTGGAATGTATTAATTGTTCCGTGTATTTATGTTAATTTTCTCTTATTTATACCTTAATCTTTTTAATATTTTTTGTAAGATTTAGACTGTTTTATCCCATAGTACCCTTGTTCACGTGTCTGCAAAGTTGACGTAGTGTCTGGCGGATTTCGCTTACCTTGTTTTTGGCCGTCTGGTCTATGGACTAAATCCATATACCCATTTTGGTTGGAGGGGCAAATTGGCGGCTTATTTGTGTGTGGAAATTGCCTGCCATGCTGCGGATTTTGCTGTTGCTTCTGCTGAGATATCCGCTGGGGGAGATGGGAGCCAGAGAGTCGAAAGGTGCACACAGGTAAAGGCAAAAGGTGGAACTCGAAGTGGAGCCCTGCAACAATATGGCGCCTGGGCCGCTGGTGGTGACAGTTGCTTGTCAACAGCATACACGATCTAGCAAGGGGAGAGGATCATGATCTATGGGACCAGACAAGAGGTACAATGAAAGAGAGCTGTTAGATGTTCCACAGGATGATCTATGGTCATGGTCATGGAAGGAGTTCCTGGGAAAGGGTTGGAGAAGGTAAGAAATAACCTATTCTTACAAGGATCCTGGTATAGGATTATAATAATTATTTAAGCTGGAAAATTTTACAATATTGTATATATCTTCATTACTTATCACTTTCTTTCAATTTCTTTAAAGAAAACTCCTTAACATTGTCTGTTTCCATCTACTTGCTCTAAACTTTCGCTATTATTTATAACGATTATAATTATTAGACATTGTCCATATTTTTGATTTCTTGACCGTTCCCATGATTAACCCAGTTTCAAGTGGTCTTCAAGGACTCCGCCCCTTAAATAACTCTGATTTATTGTCAACCAGTTTCAGGCAGAAAAAAGGCCAAAATAACAGTTATGTATATGGAGGAGACCCTTTAATAAAAATCAAAATTAATGCATTTAACACAAAATATGATTGCCACAATTTAAGTCCCAAGTCCAAGGAGAAGAGAAGAGTTGACCGAAAACCGGCAATCAGCTAAACGTTGCACGTTGCCAGTGAGAAATTAACGAGAATTAAGCGACCTGCCCACCTAATGCTCCAGATACAGCGACATATATGTATCTTTTTCTCCTTTTTTTGGATGTCGAAACTAGCAATCAACAGCATTCCTTTTAATTTCAACTTTTTGCAAAGAGATGCGCCCGCAAAAATCGAAAAAGTCCAAATCAAAACCAATAATAAAGTTAAATCGATAATTGACGTCAGGTCGAAGAAGGTATTTCTGAGATTCGGATTCGAAGTGTGTTTCTTCGGGGATCTGGCGAGAAGATCTTTTCTGGCCTTTGGCGTAAATACATACGTGATCGTTTAACTGTAAATTAAATATAATTTACCAATAATCATAATCACAATATATACGTATATATATGCAGTTTCTGTGTCTGATCTCGTCTCCTTCAGATTGAGAGCTGATCCGCAGTGATTTGATCCCCTTAAGCCAGACGCATAAATCATCATCTGGCGTATATATGTTCGTTTTCTGGATCGATAACTGTCCAAACGCGCGCCTCGCAGCTGATGGTCTGCAAAAAATTTATAAAAAAAAGGAAATAATAAAAAAAGAGAATAAAGAATTTGCCGGGTTCGCTGATCGATTGGTTTTTGTATCTTTTTGCTGCGAGTATCTCACGCTCCTCTGATGAACGTCTGCCTGACTGTGCGCTATAATTAAATGCCAAAATCGCATAGAAAGATATAGAGTGAGAGACTGTGGCATATGTTAGATCAAATTGGGGCTCAAAACAGCCACACAACAAAATATTAATCTGCGAAGCGTAAATGCTTTTGTGTAGACACCAATTAACCAATGCCCAAAGGCACACATCCTATGTCGATGATGATTTTGGTGTTAAAATCGAAGAAAATTAATAATAATAGAACTTCCTGTTACTTTGAAGGGGGGAAATATTGCCTGATTTGTATTTGTATGTTTCTTTAATACTAATTCACTTCTTATATTCTTATTAATTTATATTAGCATCTCCTAAAAATTGTCTGTTTCAATTCCTTCTCTGACTGTCACTAATATTGAGTCCTGATATATAATTATTTAAATATTGATTTAAAATATAATGAATATAATAATCACACTACTTAAAACAAAAGAAAGATTTGTATTTTTGTGTGCGAAGGCATATTACAACAACATAAATATAATAATATATTAAATAAATAAATAATACCTTTTAGTAAACAAAAAAATTTATGTTTACCTTAGCATTATAAATATTATTATATAAAAATAACTTCAACTTCAAGTCCGAAATAAAGGCTAAAAAAATCAATCTAAACTGGTATTAAATATATTTAGATCTTACCTCTCTGAGTTCTGTTTTAATTAATGAAATATATATTTACCAAAACAGAAAATATTTAAACGCTGACAATGTTTCAAAGCCTTAAATGTAAAGCCAATTTAATCACACCTTTAAAACTCCAATCAGTTTAAGCAAAATTGATCAAAATTTAAATACTTTATTAACTCTGCAAACAATTTTTGACAACCCACACCCGAGACAGACCTTCAAAAATCACAAAATGAAAACAACAGTTTGTGGCTTTATTATTTTTGCAATAATAATTTATTATTATATATTATTTTTAAACTTTTTCGCTTTTTGTTACGGTTGTTTTTGTTGTTGTTTGTGGTTGTTGGTGTTATTTGTTGCTGTTGTTATTGTTTAGCCTGTATTATTTTAATCGTATTTATTATAATAAGTTCTGTGTGTGTGTTTTGCGCTTCGAGCACCGAAATGTTGCACAATAATATTTCGTGGCTCTATTGTTTTGCTGCTGATTCGCTGAATTATTTGTTCTTTGACTATTGTTTATGACTAAAGTTAATGTTTGTGTGTATATATATAGGGTGTATATATAATAGCATATGAGAAGCGTTTAAATAGTTTTAAATGTCAATTTCTGATCATTTTCCTCCCTCATTTCGTGTGTGTGTTTGATTTTTTCGCATTTTTTTGTAACATATTTTTTCTTTTATTTTGAATGACGGGCATACAAGTTGGTTTTGTTTAGCATTTATTATTTATTATTAGTATTTATTATTAGATATATATAATATGAATTATTGTTTACCGCCTAGGCAAGTGAAATACTTGAAGTTATTTATGTTTTATATGCTAGGGTTTTTTTTAGTATTACGGCCTGCTGCTAAAAGCTAGTGAATAAATTAAAATCTTAGCCTTACAAAAAAGTACATTTGTAAAATAAATCAAATATTTAAAACACTAAAAAGCGGCTCGTAAAATGTCTCATTTCTTTACTTTTTTGTATTTCCTAAATATCTACGTGTTACTTTATTTGTTTTATAGATCGAATTACATATATTTCTGTTACAATTAATATATATACTCGAATTGAAGCTATATCATAGGGTTTTTAAGCAATGCTAAAAATGGTTTTCTTATTATTTCATTTTTTTTGGGGATTTTTAAATGCTAAATGCCAATTGGGATTTCAGCTCTTCGTTTCGCCGCACTTTTCCGCACAATTCTTTAATAAAAAGTCTTTCATATCGGCTGCTATATATAGTATGTATATATATTTACAAAGTAACTGTAAGCTTATGGGATCTAAGCACTCTATATGGGATATATCGGAAGTTCTTGCATCGTTTCACTATGATTTCTCTATATATACAAAATGGCCTCACCAACGTTTGCAACGTTCTCAAAACTCAACCTTCTCTTTAGCTTATTTTACTTCATTTTGTTTATTTACAATGTTTGCCCTCAAGAGCAGCCGCCGGTTTGGATTGCACTCTGAGATCAAATATATATATATATTTATATATATATATATATCCAGGCCAACGGTTGGGCTCACCTTCACCTGTCCAAGTGCTTAATTGGCGCTACCAAAAAGCACGGAGTTCTTGTAATAAGCCGTCGGTCGCTCTGACAGCGGACTTTTCACATCCCGTTCGGCATTGGCCGCCCGAGTTTTCCGCTCCATTTCCAGTTCCTGGGCCAAGGATTCTGCAAGATAATAAAAGAAAATAAGGGTAGATTTTAGTTTAAGTGAAGAGGTTTATATTTAAATATAAATATAAATAAAACAAGAAAGAAAACTAACTTGAGGAAGCCTAAGTCTATATATCCTTTCACTTTGAATTATAGAAATATCGTATCGAAAATAGATCAAGTAATCGCAATTTTTAAATCGAAATTTATCGATACTTTTGTATAGGAATTTTTTCAACAATCTTGTTTAGAAATATGTTATGATAGTTAAGCGGTAAACGGATGAATTTTAATTTGGAAAGCTTTGATATATTAGTCTTTTAAAGATTTATTTAAAAATTAAAAGAATAGCAATTTTTGACCATTTTTTCAAAGTTTAACGATGTAACCCCTTATAAAAATTTAAACAATATTTGTACATTTTATTTCTCTTCCTGAGATGGCTAAATTGACTCGGCTATCGATGCTAATCAAGAATATTTATGACTTATAGGATCGAAAATGACTCCTTCATAGCGTAACATGCTCCTAACTCCCTTAATAACACCCTAGAAAAGCCTAAAAAAATGGTAAAAAAATCCCAGGTACTTCAACTCACCTGAATAATTCTGCCAGAATGCTCCGGTGGCCATTAGATCAATGCCCGGATAGCTCCATGGTCCTTTGCCATTAGTGGCAGCCGCCGCTGCTGCTGCCGCCGCTGCTGCGGCAAGGCTTCCCTCTGCGGCAGCCGCTGCTGCTGCCACCGCTGCGGCAGATGCGGAAGCGGAAACAGCGACGGCAGCGGCGGAACCACTTGGCGGCCGTTCATCTCGCTCGCGACTGCCACAACGCTGCTCCTCATCCTGGGCGCCCATTGAGGCGACCGAGGAGCGATGCTGCCGCTCCACGGAACCCTCGTGATCGGAGTGTGGCTCCCTCTTGAAATGGGTGGGCGAATCGGGGCAATTGGCTCCCGCGGAAATTGAGCCGGAACCGGATCCGGCCGAATGGCCGGCGGTTACATCACAGGAGGAATTGGAGCCCAGGGATTTGTCTGACTTTTCACTGCCGCCGTCGGTTTCTATGGAAGATTGTCAATGGAAAAAGGGCACTGTGTTGGTTAAAAAAATGCGTAGGGTTGGCATTTTCGGGGGTGTGGCGAAGGGAGAATGGTAGAGGGGTAAAGGTGTGTTTAATATATCTTTCAGAATGATAAGATCCTTTTAAGTAAAAGCTACATCCCATGAGATTTGTTGTTTCTTAAATGGCTATAATTTAGGAAAATATTTAGTCTCAACAAATAAATATCTAGGAAAGAGTTTTAATAAATCGATCCATTATTTTGTTTGAAGTATTTTAGTCCATTGTATTCATAACATAACCATTAATTGGATATTATAAACAATTTGTTGTTGTAAAGGTTTAAAGTATGTGCTTAACTTTATATGTAAATATTCTTCGTTTTCATACGCAACAGAAATAATTTTGATTTTAAATTAACTTTTGTTTTCAGATTTAAGATACAAAAATGTATTATATATATATATATATATATTCTTTATTCTTTAGGAATAATTTCTAGACATACTACAATTATTACGCGACTTTGTAGAATTCTTTCTATTTAAAAACGAACTCAATTGATTTAAGAACCCTAAATAAGTCTTTGTAAGTTATACGATTATTCCTCTGCTCAATTTATAATCCAAATTAATTATTAAATTCATAACCTATTTAAGGTTGTTTTGTGGTTGGCATAGAAGAAAGTTATTTTTTGTGAATAGGTTTTTGGGATTTCTTTTTTGCATTGTGTGTGTCCATTATTCCGATAACACTTACCTTTCATCGCCTCGACATCACCGCCGTGGCTGCTGCTGTTGCTATTGTTATTATTATTATTATTATTGTTGTTGGTACTGCACTTGGAATCAGCACCACCGCCCCCACAGGCCTCAGACTCACTACAAGCGGATCCAGAGCCACCGCCACCACTTCCATTGGCATTGGGGCTACCCTTGGAGGCACCACTGCCACCACCAAGTTGCTGCTGAAATCGAATCCGGATCTTTCGTTCCCGGCGGAAGCGCTTCTGATAGAGAACTGTAAAGAAAATATAGATAAATATTAAATTAATAAAAGATTTAATATGAAAAAATTTCAATAATAATATATACAATATATTGGTTAAATTAGTATAATAAAAACCATCTTATTTAAAGTTTATGAGGACTACAATTCCTTTTAAGTCTTTAGTTTCATATAGCTTTTACTTTACTACTTTAAATAAATCACTTCATTAAAGAACCTTAGTATAGAAACCACCCAAAAAGAAGTAGCACCCAAAATAAATCCGTGACCCACTTAAATCCACTACCACTTTGGGAAATCATGAAACCAACATTAACACGAAACTCCTTTCTACGGAAATGTGTCAGGAGGAGATTGGCCAAAATAAGGAACAGGCCCAATCCCGAGAACAAATACTACTGGGAGACCCAACTCTGAACGATAGATCGTGAGTTCGATCTCTGCGATCTGCGACTGGCAACTGGTAATTTGATCGATTCGAATGATTCGAAGGGGCTCTGGCTCTGATTTTGCTGATTTTTGTTCTCGACCAGGTCTTAGCTCAATGTTCTGGCCCTCTCTCTCTCTCTCTCCCTCTTTGGGCCTTCATTGCCTGTGTGTGCCAATTCAAGTGCGCATCCGGCCGTGTGTGTGGGCGCAATTATGTTTATTGATCCTGACTTGCAATCATTCCAGATCGCGAGTCATAGAACAAAAAACAAGAACAAAAATGGAAACAACAAACGAATAATGTTGCACTGCGGAAAAATGTTGTAAAAGTTTGTATTAATTTTTAATTATTTTTTTCTACGTTGATTCAAACATTTTTGTCAGAGAAAAGGTTGGACATTGAATGATGAAACGTAATTTAGAAATGATTAAAAACATTAGCATTTGCTAACGTTAGATATATAACATTTTTAATTTAATATATTATACGAAAAAATAAACATTAATTAGTTTTCTTCTATTAAAACCAACACACATTCATTGGATTAAATTAGTTATAAATGCATTAAATAAATTATAGACAAGCTTCTTGCTGACTCGACTAAAATCTTGGCTGATTCAATCCCAATACTTTACGAGTTTTTACCCCAGTTTGCCACTGAATTTCAAGTCCAAGGACATTTATCTCATAAATTTTATCTTTATACTTCAGGTTGTATATTTCTGATTTTTCGAATTAACAATTTTAAGTGGCATACATAATTAAATTATTTATAAATATATCAATATTTATACTTTAATAACGCATTCATTACATAAAACATAACATATTTGTACTCTAATAAGCCATACATTATTTTAGGTTTTATTGAATGTAATCCTTATTAAGATGTAAAATATTTTTATACTTTAATAAGGCATACAGTACATAAAGCATATAATTTTGTATACTCTAATACATTTAGTGTCTTTATAAATATTTTAAAAATAATAATACACCCTAAGATATAGTACTTCTACAAATAATTTCTTTAGTGATTTTTGACATAATCAAAAAGAGTTAAGTTTCAAATTGATATATTAAAAATTTCTAAAATGCCAATAGAAATGTTTTAGCGATTTCTGATTTCAGATAGCGTTATCTATCTATACTTTTATTTCCAGTGTACCCTTTTTCCACAACATCGCTGTGGATGCGATGCAATGAAGCGTGGTGACAGCCGTTTTGAGGGTGGAGCCATGGAATCAACCTCAAATCAAATCCAAAACTGTTGCAGGCATATTGAATTTCATCGAGGATCGGTTCATGGCATTGCCCTCCATCTCCATCTCCGACTACAACTTCGACTTCATTCCATTCGAATTTTGAGTTTACGTACAATTTCGCCAGCACCCACGCGCTCCCATTACAAATGGCCAATTGTTGCCGTGTTCTGAACTCAAAAAAAAAAAAAACGAAATCAAAAAACTGGAAAGAGAAACTCCGTAGTACATGGCTGCGATTTTTATCGCCAGCTTTATTATTAGTTGCAATTAGATGTCTATGTGCCTGTGTGTGGCATTTTGCATAGTTGCATGCCATTTTTTTTGTTTTTCGTTTGCTGATTTATGTGCTGCCTTTTTCCACCATAATTTTCCCACAAAACGGGAAAAACGGGGGGAAAAAGGAGATTAAGTTATGGCCAGGTCGGTCGGTCGGTCAGTTTTGTGTTCAATTATTGTGTGCTCTGGTTCCCTTTGTTCTCGCATTGTAATTCTGCGGGTTTTCTTTCCTTTTCCTTACTTTTCTTTCATTTTTTGGGTATTTTTTTTTTGGGTGGAGCCTTGATTTGGGGGTTTAATTTTTTTTGTGCCTCAATGGCGGCTTGTAAATTTGAGGGCTGCCTTGCGGGTAAGGAAACTGCAGTGGCTTTACATAGACTTAATCAATTGCGATTGAGTGTTGAGTGGAGTCAATCAATGAATCAATTTATTCACCATATGCAATTGGAACACAAAAATGATTGAGGATTGAGCTGGTAATTGGTAGATTTACAAAATTGCTTTTAAATAGCCAATTTGGCAGGTTTTTAAGGGGGCTTTAATTTGGATATTAAGAAAGTAGGTTACTAGGTAAATATTTAAGGTAATGCTAAGCTAACTTTGTAGAATATTTAATTTCGATTTTTATTTGGTAAATATATCTTATTTTCATATAATAATCGAGGAACATATTAAAGTTATGTAAAACCTTCTTTGCAAGTCTCTGAGTCGTATTTAATATATATTCTTATATAGTGATAATTTCAAGAAAAATTATTGTTAAATTTCATTTTCACCTATTAATCGATAATGTATAAAAATCATTTGAAACCTCCTTTACCCAAGTTTATTTTGTTTAATTGGCTCATTGGATTTCCCCACTTTCGAAGCTCCCTTCAATTAGGCTTAGTTCTTCACCATCGCTGACTCCTTGAGCCAAAGGTAATCAACCCTTAACCCCTTGACAACCCTTTTAAGGTATTTTGTTCAAGAAGTCATCTCAAAATAACAACTCAGCAGCTCCTTTAGAAACAAAACAACCAATTAAAGGATTTACTGACTGCGCAACTAGAGTTTCCAAAAGCTTTACTCCTTCCATTTCATCATCATCAACATTTTGCTGGAGCTACTTTTTTGCCAAATCATTCAAGTGTAACTAAATAATGAAATGATATTAAATTCATTTGAATTGTGATTTCTGTTGAAAAAGGGCCAGAGAGGCAGCCCCATCTGAGCCTTAAAACCCTTTTATTTTTACTTCTTGGCAACCTGGCGACGACCACCAGAGCGCCAGAATGGGGGCCAGAGGGACTTCAGAGAGAGGGTTTTATATTCCCAGACAGTCGGCATATCAGGTGTCATTGTCATTTGAGTCAGATTGCATTAAGTGCGCCCGATTGGAATCGGAATCGGCATTGGCAGAGGGCCAAAGCGCTGGCCGGGATCGGGATCGGGATCTGGCTGAGGAGGCTGAGGATGTGCAGCTAAATGTGGCTCTGGCGCACTGTCAAGACTGATTTGGTGGCACAACTAGGAAGGGAGACTCCACTCAAAGGGGCGTAAAGTCAAGGAGAACCGGTTTTAAAGGGTATTTAAGATTTTTATAGCTTATTAAAATTTTTTGAAATATAATTGAGTTTGAAAAGGCTTCTCGTTTTGGTTTATTTTCTATGGTTCCCTTTAAGATGTATTTTTCTATTTTATATATTATTAGCAAATTGATTTGAGTGTATTAATATGATCTATTCATAGGTACTTATTTATTATGGTTAATTTAATATATTTTTTATATTTGAATGTATTTAATATTCAAAATCTCACCTCTCAGTTTACGTTCATCAACCAGTTGACGCTCTAGCGAATCCTTGACCTCTCGCTCTCGCAGAACATCCATTTTGAGCTCAGCTAAAATTATTACAAAAAAGAAATACATAGAAACTAATTAGTGATAAATATCCTCACTTATTTCTTCATAATTTAATAGTTTTAAAAACCTGCCTAAAAAAATCTCTTAAAAATGCAAACCATTCAAAACCTCACCTTTTTCGTAGCTAATTTGTCGCTCCTGCTGCCTGGCATTATCCGCTGCCACTTTGAGCAAACTCTGGATATTCCTGAGCAACGTTTCCGTGGAGCTGGCGGGCACAGCAGCATGAGCATCGATACCCAGGGGACCCAAGGCCAGTCCTCCAGCCAAGGCAGCCGCATCGTTAGCCGCCATTAGGGCCTCATTGGGGGTCAAAGCACCACCACCGCCGGCACCGGCTGGTCCATTGGCCACCGCACCACTACCCACAGCCGCCCCATTGGCCGCCGCTGCTGCTGCCGCCAATTGGGAGTAGTTCAAGGCTCTTTGGTGCTGCAGGGCAGCGGCAGCAGCTGCCTCCGCCGACGAGGGTGAGCCCCTCTGGTGTTGGTGCACAACCCCCAGGTGGGACAGACCCACCGCCTGGTGGTGGTGCGAGGCGGCATGCTGGTGGAGCTGGTGAGCCGCTGCTGCCGCCGCAGCCGCTGCAGCTGCCGCGGAGCCCGTGGACAGGTTATCACGTTCCGTGTCACTCAAATCTAAAAGGGAAAAAACAAAATACAAAGAAAATGGTGTTAAAACGATTAGATACATTTTTAGGTAAGAGATTATTATCATTAATAGTAAATGGAATTTATAAATCAAAAATAATTATGTTGCATTTGAATAAGTTAAAAATGAGTCAGTTTATATGTTATTATTTCTAAATTTAATATTATTCATTTATTTTATGCATTCATATATTATTGCCTCGTGTCTTAATTATCAAGCTTCTTGTCACTCAAATCTGTCAGAATGAAAACACAAATTCCATAAGGACATACAGAAAGTCAAATGTGTCACAAACTCCATTTATCGTTTATCGCACGTTTGTATGCAATCGTGCTTATCGGACATTGTGCATCGCTTATCGCTTATCGCACATCTCTGAATCGAGCAAATGTAAGCAAAGTTCACTCACCTTCTTCATCTTTGGCCAGACAACGTTCATCCACTTCGGATTGATTCTCATCGCTAAGGTTCTCCTCCTCCTCATCATCATCCTCGACACCAATGATGCCACCGCTGCCCACATGCGAGGAGACACCACCAACGCCTCCACTGCGACTGCCCTCGTCCAGGCTCCGGGAACCACCTCTACCAGGAGAACCCGCCACCGAATGGCAGTCACTCCGCTCACTACCCGCATCACAATTGCTGCCACCGTGATCCGTATTTCCACCGGATTTACTCAGATTCAGCACAGGACTCTGGCGTGTAGGAGAACCTGCAATATATCGAAGAAAGTAGGGAGGAGGATAAGATGATGCTTATAAAATAGCATACATTTTAAGACACTTTCTACAAGTACATGATACACTTAAAATTTACAAATTAATTTTAATTTCAATTGTACTTATACTTACAATTCCTTGAGCTCAGATCCCTTGGCTTAATATCGCCAACCATCACATTTCCCACTCGATCGACCACTGCCGAACCCACGCCCATCACCTGCTGGCGCTCATCCGTTCGCTCCTCCCTTAATCGCTCCAGATGCTTGACTATATCCTCATAGGCCGCCCGGCAATTCTCCCAGATCCCGGAACGTGCCAAGGCATCCATATTGGCCGCTGACATGCCAGCATTCTGGGCGGCGGCCTTCAACATTTGGCTTTCGGGACGGGCGTGGAGACCATGGGGCGGCATACCCGGCGACATGAGAGCCGCCGCTCCAGGATGGTGGGCATTCATCTGCATGAAGGCCATGTGATTGATGGGCGGCGGATTGTAGCCATTAGCCAGGAGTGGTGACTTTTCCAAGCGGTTCATATCTAGAGGGGAAAATGGGGATACAAAAAAAGGGAAATGATATTTAATATGAGTAAAGGCATAAAAGAAAGATTTATTCCATTTTCCCACCTGTTAATTATCATTCAAATCTTAAATCTTATATAATCTACTATAATTCTCTTAAAAGAACACCTTCTATAGCTAATTTAAGTCCCCATGGATGTCACCTTGGTAAATATTTTTCATATTCAAATGCATTCTGAACCATCCTCAACCATATTTGCCTTTCAGTTTGATGGCTCGCCTAACTGACACCTGTTCCTGTCTGCCTCCATCTCTTCCACATATATCTATATATATATATTTATACATATATATACATAAAATATATATATCTATATATAGCATGTCTATTGTCTGTGCGGCCAGACTAAACACAACAACTAAAAGCACCCACGCACATGGCCGAGACTACCTAGCAGATACATAGATACTTTTGTATCTGGCCTGTGTATCTACGTCTGTCATTTGTTTGCACTCAATGTATATACACACACGTGTCTGTATATAGATATATATGCAGTTAGTTGAACAATTTAGTGTGCCATTAAATGCTTTAACGTTCACTAAATTGCTAAAATTGAAGCAAAAATTCGAAATGCAATTAAAAACTTGGCAAAAATTCGTTAGCATGGTAAATGCAATTAAACGATGGGAAAACTATATATATTATACCAGGGGAAAATGCAGTTACTAAATTATATAAAAAATACCATCTAGTGCGTGTGTGCATTTTTATATTAATAATAATGCAATATCACTCAAGAATCAACGCCCCATAATTCACTCAGAGAACCTTCTTCCTTTATGGCCTGAGCAATGACTGAGCAAAAAACAGAAACCAAAACCAAAACTCTGTTTTTAAAAAAAGAACCCATCTTCTTTCAGTTTTTAGTTTAGTTCAGAAGGCGCCGGCGGCGCATGGTTCTAAAGAAAAAGATTTCAAGATTCCTTTTCGATTTGGGGCTTTTTGTGGCCGCTCGTAAGTATCTTTTCATATTGTGCGTTTTCGGACACATTAATAGAAAGAGGCGTTGACCAAGTTGTCAGCTTGGCTCATAGAAAACTATGTGAGTATGTAAAAAGAAAGAAAGGGAAAAAGAATGAGAGAAAAATGTAAAATCAATTAAATGTGAGTCCCGCTTGTACTTATCATAATTACAGCCACAGATACAATTCGAAAATTTTCAATGAATGCGATTTCCTGTAAGCAGTACAAATCACAGTGGAAATCGACTTGATTGCGGCTTAGGCTGCCATTTATCTGTGGCTGCTGGGAAACAGCAATCCAAACTACACCCAATGTATCTGTAGCTGTAGATGTAGATGTATCTGTATCTGTATCCGTTTCGTTTCATTTTTTTTTTTTTTTTGTACGTTTGGCAGCCGTAGAGTATAAGCTGTAATCACAGCCAACAAGCAGCGATCACAAATCACAAATGGCGGCACAGCAAACCGATCATCGATCGATTCGGGGGAAGCACAGCAAAAGCATAAATACAGAAATACAGAAAGCACTATTATACCTGACGATACCCGAAAGCAAGTTTAGTGGCCAATCTGCGAATGATTTCATTACCATTCGAATACGAATTCGTGGGCCCTCGGGTCATGCCACTCAATTGTGTGAGAATTTGCAATTGGCAGCAGTGGCAAGTGGGAAATTTTTTCGTATTCGTACAGAGAGAAAAGTTGTTACTGAATATTAAAGTGAATATTTAAACTTTCTATAAATTTTTGTTAATATTTAAAAATTTGCCATGAAAATATGTATAAATATCATAGTTAGGAAGACAATTGTAAACTGTTCTAAGGAAAATGTCCTTAATGGCAGCTAGTTTCGTGCAGCAGGGGCACACTACCGGCTATTCTTTGTGTTAAGGTCACACTGCCCTTTTACAAATTAAATGTTTTATGTAAAATTCAATGGAATCAGGAAAATTACACACTAGCAATACAATTTGATTTTATCATCTGTTTTTTATACATTTTTTCCCTCAGTGCTTTTGCAACATTGTATTAAATTACTTACCACTGATGTGCCCATTTTCATAGGCATAATCTCCATTGTCCAGGCGATGCTTTTTCAACTGCGGATGCTGCGATAGATGAGTGGGCGGTAGGGAAAGCCCCACGGGTCCCCTTTTGGGCGGTCTACCCGGTCTGGAACTGCGGAATTGCAGAGAGTTACTGTTGGGTTGAGAGCAATGGACAAATATCCGTGGTATCAGTACAAAAAAAGTCAAATGCCTCAGCACAGTGATCACAATTCAGCACACAAAAAAATGAGAAACTAATTAACCAATAGAAAGTGCTGTTTTTCTGCCTTGTGCTGCTGCATTTTCTTGTGAATTATTTGTTATTAAAAATTATATATTTATAACTTGAGAGTTTTTAGGAGCGGAATATAATTATATAACTTAAAACAAATTTTTTAATTTATTTAGTTTCCTTCCATAATAGTAGGAAACCCAGTTAAGTCTGTTTCCTGCTGATTATTTTAATATATTCTTTAGTTTTATTTGCCATAAAGAACAAGTGTCTATTACAATTTTAAGTATTTCTTTTTGCCATAAAGACATTCATTATGTCTTAACTATTCCGAATTTTTCAGAACTCTGCTGGTTAATATATTTCCCTCAACCGAAGACATATCCCTCTTAGCCCCGAAATGCATTGCCTAATTAAGCTTTAGCCAAGTTTAGTAAGCAGCCCCCCATTGACTTGGACAAATAAAAAGCCAAAAACAAGAAGAACGAAAACGTGCTACCATTTTAATTATGTGCCATAAAAATCTAGCAAAAGCAGCAACAATAATAATAATAATGAAGTGAAGCCGCAGAGAAAAGACATAAGAAAAAGAGTTAAACTATATATTTTCTGTTAATTTATGACCGCAATTGCTGCTATTTGTATATTAAATATTAAACAAGTCTTCAGCAAATACTTGACGCAGGTTAAGCTAAATAGTTAACCAAAAGAAACTCACAAACACTGCGGCTGGAAATTATGACAAACAAGAGATAAACAACTTGGAATTTGAAAACTGAAAACTTAAAAGAACTGAAAAAAACTGCAGCAAATACTACAAGGGGAAGCTATATAGAAACTTGATCAAATAGAGCGACTATTACCCCAGGCCCCAGGTGGACCTGGGTTACCTGGCAATTAAATTATGGAATCTTCATTCCATGTTTGCCGCTGGTAAACAGGTGGGCCCCTTAGAACGCCAAAAGACAAAGACCAAGGCAAATAAACACAGGTAGCAATGATCGTGTGCACGATATGACTATACGTATATATCTTTATATACATATATCTTTGTATATATATGTATGGTGAAACATTGAACAATTTGTAATTGTGCGTTCTTTGTGGATAAGAAAGATTCTACCAAATATTTACAGTTACATATTTTGCCTCAGCAAATATTTGCAGCGGGATTTTTTAATTGTGCTCCATTAAACGTTTAACAATAAACAAACCGGAGAGTTTTGTTGTCTTGGCCTCTTTGGGTCAAATAAAGAGATTCTTCTTCGCCATGAATCATTCCAAGAATGAAAACAACAATGGAGAGGGAAAGTGTTTTTTCGGGATCTAATCGGAAGGCCGTTTGGGGCCCCCACATATTATGACGTGCAAAAATTTGAAAAATTAAGAGGCTCGTGCGTCTGTCAGTCAACTTGTACGAATTTATGGGGAAGTGAGTTAAAGGTTCTTGAAGGCAGAAAACACTTTCATTGGAAAGTTTTCAGTTGCTACACCACTGACATGTTTGTCTTGTCCATGAAAAAATTTTGACTTTCGCCGGAAAATGTCTTTTTCGCATAGGGTCCCATCCGGATAAGATTGTACATATAACCCAATTGGGTTTTGAGCCATTTGCGTAATGATTGTGCAACTTTAATGACGACTCCTATAAGCTGAATTCTAGGTAAGATATTTCAAGGGAAAAGAAGCTTATCTGGTTAGGAAGCCATAAAGAAGATATTTTCTATTGAAAAGGTGGATTTCCTATTAATTTAAAGAGAAACCGGATGGGAAAAATTAGCTTAGACCTTTAATATGTCCAGAAATATAATAAGATCATATTACCTAGATTAAAATGCGTTTATTGAGTTACTGGAAATATTGAAACCAATTAAAATTGAATTTCTTAATAGGTTTGAGATAAACCAATACACATTAATTTCAATAAAATAAACTCTGCACAGTAAGTATCAGTGATCAGTAATTAACGATGATCAGTAAGTATATATGACCAGTAAGTATGTATGTATGATCATTTACTAACTTTGAACACTAATAAACAATGACTTGCAACTTTTGTAACAACACTTTTCTAAGACCTGGCCGGCAGAAGTCACTTCGTTCCGGGGATGTTAGAACGAGTTGGGAATTATATGCACAGATGTGCGAGATTTGTTTTGGAACAAATTTAAGCTATTTGAATGAAACTATGAAGTTATTCTTCGATATAGTTTTACTATTATATAAATCGGAGCATGGCGAATCGGTGGACTATATATTTACATATATATAGCTGACATAGGAACCATCGGACGATTTATAGAACTATGAACAGTAATTAACTATGACCACTAATTAACTATGAGCACTAAGTAACGATGAGCAGCAACATAAGTAACACTGAATAGTAACTATCTATGGCCACTAATTAACTATGATCAGTAATTAACATTGACCAGTAATTAACTATGATCAGTAAGTATCTATGACCAGTAAGTATGTATGTATGATCAGTTACTAACTTTGAACACTAATAAACAATGACTTGCAACTTTTGTAACACAACACTTTTCTAAGACCTGGCCGGCAGAAGTCACTTCGTTCCGGGGATGTTAGAACGAGTTGGGAATTATATGCACAGATGTGCGAGATTTGTTTTGGAACAAATTTAAGCTATTTGAATGAAACTATGGAGTTATTCTTCTATATAATTTTACTATTATATAAGTCGGGCATGGCGAATCGGTGGACTATATGTATATATACATATATATACTCCCATAGGAACGATAGGAAAAAATAAGAAAAAAATAACTTTTTCAGTTTTCGGCAGATTTTCATCAAATTTTATATATAGCCATTTTATATTATTGTAGAATTTTGGTTTTAATTTTATAAAAATCGGACTACATGATGTAATATATAGTCGTCCGATTTTAAAAGATTATAATGCCCTGCAAGGGTATAAAAATTAAATTAAATTTAACAATATTCTATGTATATAAAATATAGGGAAATAACCTAACTTACCCAAATTAATTTAGAAGAAACTATGTGCTCTCATTGCTTAAAGCCGGATAAGTATAACAAACACAATTTCCAGGCAATTTTCATTCGAAATAAATTGAATGTTACGAACAAAACCAACGGTTATTTAACTAATTTATGCACCGTTGTCACTTGCCGCAAATGTCATTTTGCATTTAACATTTTGCATTTTTCGCGCAGCGCAACGGACAAGCGTTTAGTCAGGAATAAACAACAATTTGTCAAAATAGTCGCTGTGGCCAATGTAAGCCTGCCCAAAACGGCTATAATAATAATAACAACAAAAAACCGGAGGAGCATAACCGGTTAGCTAAAGCCAAATGCACCCGAACCTCATAGTAGCTCGAACCTGTTTGCAGCTGTCTCCTTCCTTGGTATATTTTTCAATAATCAAGGGATAGCTGAGTTGTTAATTATTGATCAGAGCTCGGGACTCTTGAGAAACAGCCGCCAAAATATGCGCCAAACTGTGCTAAACTGTTGCAGTTGCAGTTGCATTTGCAGTTGCATAAATCGAAAGGATAACATATTTTTTTCCCAATTGCAAAGAAGGCGTTGCCAACATTTGTCAGCAGGCTTCCCAAGTCTTAACCCACAGCCCCGGGTACCTAGGCTGTAAATTGGTAAATCAATTACATTTATGGCCAACTTTGCCACCTTGTGCCACAGCTACCGTAGAGCGTGCTTGCCGGCAACTAAATTAATGCAATCCGATTCAAGTACTCGGCAGAACCGACAATTAAAATTTCCATATTTGCAATCACCAATGCCGAGTGCATTCGCAGTGGTAGAATTTTAATTGAATTCATAGCCTCAAATTGATTTGAATTCTCTCGCCCCTTACCGATGATGCCGTTTTGCACATTTGCCTCTAAGCCGACTTAATCGACAAACAAAAATTCTCAGAAAGAAGCTGTCAAAGAATACACCTCGTCTTAACTTGGCCTGGACTGGCGCTTGAAGTTGGCTCGAATTTCCTTTCGGTTAACAATAAATGTTATTGGTACGAGAATGCTCGTCGGCGAGTGCCTTTGGCCAACTTTTGTATTCATTGTTAAGTGACATGCAAATGTACGAATGACATGGCATTGTTGGGAGTCTAAAGTGAGTATATAGAGAGACTTGAAGATACTCAACTCTCCAGTTAATTGTGGGCTTCCAGCAAAAGGTCTGTGCTTCTCCAAATGATTGGTTACGGAACTTGAATGGCAATGGAAATTGTAAATTATAGCAGAAAACTAACTAGATTTCATTGGAAATTGTGAATAAGATGAAATTGATTCAAGGCAACTGAAGCTTAACATTCAGGAGAAAGAAAGTTTTGAATGGAGTAAGTTGGTAAATTAAAGCTTATATTTTAGACATATTAGTCAAATTAATGTTTAAAAAATGTATACCTTATTTTAATATATATAATAAATTAACTGAGAAACTAATCTAATCTAAGATTTATAATAAGCTAAAGTACATTTAGCTAAAATGATTAATTTGCCTTCAGGCATAACTTTAACGTTAATAATGCCACCTGAACTAATATTTTATATACTAAACAATATTTTCTTATAATATTTCTCTTTTCTTTATATATTTCCCCTAAAAAATTGTTTCTAAAATTTAAAAAAGTCTTAGTACTTCATTTTCACAAATCAACACTCATCAAAATCGACCTTTTTTCCTATGCAAATTTCTGCCCAGTCAAGTATTTAAATCAAAATCACATGCTAATTAACAATTTTGAATTTTGGGTGGCCTTCTTTTTTTTACACAGCCCACAACAAGTTTGCCTTATAATTTCCTCAAGCCACTGGCGATTTTCCCCTCCAAGACCAACTACTATACATATGTGTACACTGAATTAATGCAGATTTCTTGGCAATTGTTTTTGTTTTTTGCATACTTTGTTTTAGTTTTTTTCCTCACTCACTTCAATTTCAATTGGCGTGCTAATAACTCATTTAGTTCGCAACAAAAACCGAGCAGAGAAAAAAATATATATATTGTTACTAACATGCCACACCAACAATGGATTTTGCTGACTACCCACCAAGATGTGCCCCTTACTTCCCTTTGCCTCATCTCATGATGCTGAGAGAATATATACAATATATATATATATATATATGGGTGCAGTTTTGTTTTAGGCTCTGTAATTATTATAAAAAATAAATTGAACTATTGTTGCCTCATTTAGATTGAACAGCAAGGCAGCAAGACAGCCACAAAGTTGCTTTTTTGTTACTTCGGTTACACTCAATTAAGCTGAATTTGCAAAATGCAAATGCCCCAACTGAAACTCACACCTTCAGCCTAGCTGCACTCGAATTATTTTAGAAATTTAATATAATTATAAGAGTGCTTTTTTGTTTTTCCTTTCCTTGCAACACCTTTTCCGCCTCTCATTTTGACAGCCCGAGGAACCGGAGTTGATCTCTTGATTGTCAGTCAGTCAGTTTGTGATTAGACATTCGACAGTCACTATTGTAGCTGGCATAAATTATAGTCTGTGTCTGTCTTTCTATATAACAAAGCTCTATGCATATGAAATTCATATAATAAATCAATGTGCTGTCGTAATTTGTGTTAAGTTATTTGTAATCAATTTGAATTTGAATTCGAATCTATCGGAGAGTAAGAGAGAGATTTGTGGAACATTATATTCAGTTGGTCATTTGGATTATTTTTCAGTAACATATTATATAAATGTTTATTTTTATTTTGTAGTTGAAATAATTTAAAGATTTCAATGCTGGCTTTAGTTTGAAATTTAAAAAATGATACTGAAATATTTTGATCTATTATAGGATTCTTTTCCATATACTTTCCATAAAGTGTGTCATTTTAGACCATTCTGCTCTAAAACTTTTTAGACTAGAATTCTAGTTACAATTCCATTAAATTTCTTTTCGGTATATAACATTTTCTCACTTCTTAATTTGTTTTTTCTTTCTCTAATCAAAAATCTGTAATTTTTGTACGTTTTCCTTAGTAAAAACTCTTATTCCTTCCTAAACTCTTTCAAATTCTCCTACTTATTCACTTCACCTTCCTTACAGCCATTCTCCCGTCTAACAAATTTACCAACAAATTAAACTCAAATGAAGTCAAATCAATCGATGGCTTTTCAATACATTTTCCTTCTTTTTTTTGTTGTTGTACCCAACATTTTCCACTTGGCCCGAACAATTTGCATAGTTGTGGTCTTGGTACCGAATCGGATCGGTTAGTCTTTGACGATGGAGCACGGGACTCTAGTCCAATTTAGTGGAAAGGTGTGCCCACCAGCTCAGTCACAACACGTTGTCGTGGCTCAGGCACTCTTCTGGCGGCTTTTTTGGTCCATGCGGCCTAAACGGCGTTTTTAAGCCAAGTTAGAGCCGGCGAGAGGAGTGGAGACTGCAACTGTCAACTGTGATCAAAATCAATTGTTTGCCATTTGCCAAAACCAAAATTGACTGAACCAAACTCTGTGCAACTCACACAAATGCTGACAAAATTATTATTATTCACATGCGAGAGAGCCCATGAAATGTCAGTGTCAATAATTTTTCATAATTATGAGCACATTACCAAAAAAAAAAAAAACAAAAACAAAAACTATACACACATATAAATATTTATATATATATATATAAAAAAAGATTATTTATGGTTGGCTGCCATAGGAGAAGCCCCCAACAAAGGCAAACAAATATAATAAAAAATTATTGCAACGTAAGTTTTGATTTGAACAAAAGGGAAATACATTTGGAATGAGCTCAAGAGTGTTTTTAGAGTGAAAATTGCAAGGTGTTTTTGTTATAAAACTAACTTTGAAATTTTTTAATTATTTCTATAGTTTCTTATACATTTTTTAGCTTGCTGTTTTGAGTTTTATTTTTATATTTTCCCCTAAATATATCTACCAAAAATCAATCCACACACCTGTTCCCTTAACCGTTAACACCGTTAGCATTCTTAACCCTTTTCATGCTCTATTTACGTTTATCCAAACATGTATCTGCCACATCCTTTCGCACTTCCGCTTTTTTTTGAAGGCTCGCCCAATTTCCGTTTTGAGTTTAATTAATTTAATAAACAAATTCTTTTCGCTCTAAAAACTCTCAAGTGTATTAATAATGATAATGCGATCGATATCGATACGTTTTTCCTTTTCTTTTTTTCCTTTTTTGGGGAAACGAGTTAAACAAAATAAAAAAATTTATGGAAAAAAATGGTATAAGGAGGAGGAGAGAAATTATTGCCATAGTTTTTTTATTATACTTGTGTGTTTACCTCTCTGGTGGCTTGATCGATAGGCATCTGCAATTAAAAAGAGAAGAGAAGAGACAAGTGAGGCAAAATTGTTAAACTTTAAGTGTTTGTGTATTTGTGTGTGTGTAAGCTTTAAAACGTACAAAAAAAACATATTACAACTGCAATTGCAACGAAAAAAAGTACAAATTACGGGAAAAATTCAAGCTACAATTGCTGAAAAAAGGGAAGTTTTTCATTGAGACCTCTGTCTCTCTCTGCATTTCGGCGGGCCAGCGGGTGTGAAAATGCACACGCCCTAAGCTTCCCCCCCTTAACCCACCGCCGCCACTGGAATTAACCCCAGAAAGCCAAAGAGAGACAGACTACAGAAGCGGCCTGCCCTCAGCGGTTTTCGCATTTTCCCCCCCTGTCTCTCTGTCTCTCTTTCTCACTCTCACAACTTGTTTCAATTTAGTGCAAAACTTTTTCAACCTAATAATAGGTTTAACCGCATTTTTAACCGTTCCTCATGCTGGGTCCGGTTGGGCATAACACTGGGGTCCCCTGCTCTGTTCTCGGTTCTCTACTCACACAAAAAAATATTACTACATTTTTTAAAAGTGAAAAAAAAACAATCAAATTATTTAGTTTTAAATTTAAATGACAAATAAATCTCTAACCTAACTACAAACTTGCTAAAAACTAAGACTAAATTATTCGAAATCCAAGCAGTTCTTTCAATATAATTTTCTGTATTGAAACCAATTCTATTTAAAGCAAAAACAAGAGCTCTAATTATTTATTAATTCTTTAAATTCTCTACTAAAAAACTCTTTCCAAATACTTAATAAACATAAAAAAATATATAAGATTCTTTCCAAGCTTTCAAAAACTTTCAGCTATTTTTTAAATTTTAAACTTGTAAAATACTATAAATATTATTCTTTATTATTATTTCTGGACTTTTAACATACATTATAAACCTTCAGAAATGTTAAAAGAGAGCTGGAAAATTTAATTTTAGGTTTCAAAAACTTGTAACTATTTTTTCAATATTACTTTAAAATTGTAACAATTTCTTCCTGTGTTTATTCGTACAGCGCATGTGCATATTTGGAGCACACTTTATACACTCCATGTGCTGGGGCTCTTTTCCATAATTAACTAGATGGTTTTCCATCGTATGCATTGTGGTCAGTGGCCAGTTCAACCCGTTCTTTACTGTAAACAAAAATGCAGGACTCTCCATGGGCCTTACAAGAACCCAAAAATACAAAACAAAAAAATTCAAAATACAAAAAAGGTAAGAAATGAAAAGGAACAACAAAAATAATGTGGGGATATTGGAATACAAGGTTGCAATCTTTTCAAACTGTTGATGTCTCAATGCCGGTCCCTGCGGTTCATAAATGTTTTCGGAAAGCTTTTAAGCTGGGGGAATGTTTAAATATCCATCAAATATTGGGGTTACTTTGGCGGGAAAACGGAATATTAGCCTTTAATTAAGTTGGAGTTCTTTGGTATGTATTTTTTATTAACTGATATCCAAGGGATATGAAAGATTCTATTAACTGTATCTGTTTCTAAATTACTTACTATTATTGTAAGAATTTTTAATACATTTCAATCTTTTAATCTGTTTTCAAATGTCAAAATAGAGCATGGAAATGTTTGTACCCTTTAATAAACTTTTAATAATTTAAAAATTATTTTAAGATTTGAAATATATATCATTCTTTCCTATTTTTTCTGGACTTTTTTTACAAATATTTAATGCTTCAAAATGTAAAAAGAGAGCTGAGAAATTATCTGTAAACTTTCAAAAACGTTCAGCTATTTTTAATATAAGCTTTAAGATTGGGAACTTGTATAAATGCTATAAATATCAATCTTTACTATAATTTCTGTACTTTTAAAACTTTTTCAAAACTTTAAAATATAAAAAAAATAACCTAGCCACCCTAGACAATCATTTCAAATAGTTACAAAAAGCACACACCTTTTTTGGTGTAACCAAGGACAATTGCACTTCCTTGAGGTACTCCTAAACTCAAACTGCAAAACCCCAGAACTCCTAAAAAAAAACATAACAAAAACCAATTTCTCTGGGCTTTTTTCCTTGTCGTTTTTTCCACTCGAACGGAAATGAGCTGACAGGGCACCCGCACACGTCGATTTTGCAGCAAAAAAAAACACATTGGATGGAAAACAGGCGGAAAAGTTGTACAAGGTGGAAAAACTGTTTCACCAACTATTGTTAGAGGCGTTCAAAAGAATTACGCAGCTTTTTTGGGATTGTTAGCAAAAAGGGGGTTCAAAAGGGGGGACTTGGCACGACCCCCATTACATTTGCATTGCGTATTTCCGCCAAATGTCATCGGAAAAGGCAAAAAGGTGAAAATGCGAGAGACGAAAGTTTTTTGACTGCCCCTTCAGGGTAATCGATATCGATGCACAAACTATATATTTGCATTGTGTGCCACCCCCTTCTCATTCTCCTCCTTTTCGATGCAATTGGAAAATTAAAATGGGGCGGCGACGGCGGGTGCAACTTGAGTGCGTAAGTTGGTTAAAGCGGAAACAGGAAATGAGAAAATTTTGCAGAGCAAGTCCCCCCCCCCACCGAACTAGAAATGGAACTAACAGAGAGGGTTTACACTCGCAGAAATTGAAAACTAGACAAGTTTTGAGGGGAATTTTAACTGAAAAGTGTTCTTCAGTCTTTGGATTTATTTGCTAGCTTCAAAAGAAAGATATTAAATGATAAATATAACTCTCAAATACTGAAAATGGGGTTTAAGAAAAGTGACATTTCGAATTAAGTGTTCTGTTCTGGTCCTGAGTTAAAGATCTAAAAAATCATATTTAGTGCTTTTAAATTAATGTTATTAAGCCTAAATCCATTAAAATGTCTGTTATTTAATTTAAAATGATTGTTTTTTAAATCAAACTAAATTTAACTAGCGGATCAATCGAATTTCATTATATTATATTATCTTTCCTTTACAAAACCTCAAAATATATCATAAATTCTCTATAAAAACCCCTACAAAAAATCAACCACATTTCCCTTTAAAAATACAAACTCAAAATCAACTTAAAAAACAATCTTTAAAAGATAAAAAGCACTGTGGTTCTTATTCGTACCTGGCCGTGGTGCAGTCCCTGTAGAGAACATCAAAGTCCTTGCAACTCAGTAGCTTGCAGCGATTGACGCCCGGCTGGATGGCACCCAATCCTCGCAGGATTCGCACCTGCTCCACATTGCACACCAGCGGCACAATGTCCAGACGCTTGAGCTTAGTGTACACCGTGTGCAGGCCACCAACCAGATGCTTGAGGAATAGCTCAAAGGCCTGCGGCAGGCAGAGCATTGTCTCATTACTGATAATGAAGGCGGCGACCTTTTGGCCACGATACTCGACCAACTTGCACTCATTGGCACTCGGATCGGAGGTGGAAATGGGTGGCGGTGAGTTATACGACCTTGGCGGCACATGATGATGGGCAGCGGCCATCAGTTCCAGCGGGGAGGCATGATGCATCATCTGCAGGGAGTTGAGCAAGCCCAAAGAATGTGGCGGCAAGCCGTGGGGCATTCGTGGGGGCAATCCAGCTGGCAATCCATTGCCAGAGGACAAGCCATGCGGCGGAGGACTTAGCTGATGATGCTGCTGCTGCTGGGCCTGTTGCTGGGCCTGCTGCTGTTGCTGCTGCTGCTGCTGCATCTGCTGCATCATGGAGTGATTGAGGGAGCTCACAGGACTGACAGCACTCGGATGACGACTTGGTGAACTGGCCGGTGAGCAACTGGATCCTCGTCCCGTGTGCGAGCTGCGACCATTGGGACGATCATCGTTGGCGCCGCGGGAACTGTTGCTGCCGTCGCGTCCATTGTGTTGCTGCTGCTGTTGCTGTTGCTGCTGCTGCTGCTGTTGCTGCTGGGCTGCTGCTGCTGCTGCAGCTGCTGCGGCGGCTGCCTGCTGCTGCTGCTGATGATGCATCAACATGGCCGTGGTGTTCATACTGCTGCCACTGGTCAATTGCTCTAAACTCCTGATCCCGATCCCGATCCCGATTCCGATCCCACTTCCAATATTATTGTTATTGATCACGTTTGACTTGTTATTGTTCTTTTCACTCTGTTCACTTGTCACACAATCCATACTTCATCGTGGCCCACACTTGTTTATTTTGTTTCTTTGCTCTTTTTTCTTGTATTTTGTATTTGTATACTTTTTTCTATGATAAAAAATTAACACAACGTTAGAAAAGAATAAGAAGAGTTTTAGATAGAGAGAGAGAGGAAAGGCAGAGACAGAGGCAGAGACTGGGAGATAAATAACTAATGAACTCTTAATTCATTTTTAATTATTTATTAGGCTTCTCTATGCAAATTCTAATTGATCAAGCGAACACGCTTCTTCACATCCGTGAATTGATGGTTGTAAATAATAACCCAAGATGGCTAATTTATTATAGTGAGGTTTATATAAAGAATATATATATAGAAGTAAAACTCTAGGAAGCCATTTTATTTTATTTTGAAAACTGGTTTAGGGTTTATGTAGTATAAATAATATACATAGCTTGAAGAAGCAATTTATAAATATCTTATGAGGATTCACAGTTCTCACAGCGTTCCATATTTGGAACATCTTTAAATATTTCTTCCTAATATTTCCATATTATGAATAATGTTTCATGAGTTTTTAAATATTAAAACACTCCCAAATAATAAATATCGATTCTGGATTTATGTGGATTTATATTTAAATCTTTGAATTAGAGAATTGGAATAACATTAGAATTGATACCGATATTTTTAAACTATCTTAGTGTTTTCCCTAATCTTATCCTTATTTTTATCAAAATTCTGAATTTGTTTAAGCTCTTTTTAGAATATACTTGAAACATATTTAAGTATTTTGAAATTTATTATCAGAGAACCGTTTTAAAAGTTTTCAAAAGTGAGAACGTGAAAATGTTATTAAAAACAAGACTTTAATTAATTTTTAACCTCTCAACTTGATTATCAGTCTTAATTTTTGTTGATTCCGTTTAGGAAAAGGTTTTAAATTTCAAATTTGACTAAAATTATTTAAAAACATTAACTTATTTGCCAGTTTTGAAACTTATTTGGTTGAAAATAAACCTATTCTAGCAGTTAGTCAAGCCTTTGATTTAAATTTATTTGAAATCTAATAATTTATTTCTTGAAAATCAATTTATTTCATCATATTCAAAATATTCAAATGAATTCCACCAATTTGCATAAAGAATTCCCATAGATCTCAAACCTCTCTGCTCTCGATTCGAAAAAGAACATAGATTTACCTTCAACAGGGTTCTAAAATAATTCTAAAACTCAAAATCACAGTCAACACAGACACTCGCGCACTTGGTTTGTGTTTCAAAAATTTATTATCGATTTCGAATCTCGTTTGAATATTTATTTATATTTATTTCGAATATATTTATTTTTTGGGTTGTGAATTCGATTTCGCGTGATTTCGAATATTGCGGAATTTTTGGAAAATCCGTGTGCCGTTTTCGAGTACCGTACCGACGGATTGTCACTGAGAGATTGAGAGATTGAGAGATGCCAGCGACTCTGCTTTCACGGCAACTGCGGCGTCGACGTCGCTGCCCCGGTCGCTCTTCCTCTTCGTACCCCCAACCCCTTACCCAGCGCCACGAATGCGAGAAATCAACGAAACGAATTGCATTCGAATGGGGAATCGACTGAGAGCGAGATGGGGCGATGCTGGGGACAGAGCGAGAGAGAGCGCCAGCCTGACGAGTGTTATTTTTTTAGCCCACCCACACACGGACACACACACACAGAGGCACAGAGAGGGCCGAAAGCGTTACCGTTATGTACTGCAAGAAATGCGCGCGCAAAAGTTTTATTGCATTACCTTCGCTTACGAATGACAAATTCGAAATGAAAGGCGAGCCAAATGTGTTTCGATTCGATTCGTTTCGTACTTTGCAACGCCGGCAGCGACGGCAGCAGCGCAGCGGCAGCAGGAAGAGTATCTGTGTGTGAGTGAGTGTTTGTATCTGTATCTGCGATTGTGCAAAACCAGAATACGAGTACGAATACGAATACGAGTTACGAATGTTTGTTGCGTCTCGCATTACGAGCACATATACCCGCTCAAAAAGGGGAGTGGTATACGATTGATAGCTGAGTGGGTGTGTGTGTGTGTGTGCAACCCCAAAAAACACAATGACAAACGTAATAAAACGACATACACAATCCCCAGCCAGGACCTGCCGCTCTCGCTCTCTCTCACTCAGTCGTGCTCTCTTTCTTACATTTGTTTTATTTATTTTTTCAATTCAATTCAAAAAACCTCCCTCTCCCTCTCCCTTGCTCTTGCTCTCTCTCTCTCCACCGAATAACATTCTACATTTCATTTGCGTTTCAATTTCATTTCGTTTCAAGCTCAGCTCTCTCGCTCGCACTCTGGCTGGGCAAGCGGCCATCTTGCTCACACACTCAGGTGGGCTGCAACCAATAAACATGAGTGAGCAGCAGCATATTTGCATAGCGTGCATGTGCGGGAGAGAGAGAGAGAGATTGAGGGAGCTGCACGTGTGTGAGTGAATTGGTTGGCCCTCCCGCTCACTCCCATGGCCGTGTCGCCTTATATAAACAAATGACAATTGTTTTGGCATTTTCTGTTGGTTTCCAACCCAAAGTAAATTAAAATAAATGCATTGCACGGAAAGGCAAGGCAAAAACAAAAGCAAAATAAACGAAATATTGCGATTACTTGGAGTTTGCGCAGCTGATTTTGCCTTTTGGCTTTGCCGTTTTTGCTTGCAATTTGCATTTTCTTATTGGAAAAGCATTTTAATTTCAATTAAAAAAGTAAATGACAAAGTTTTCAACGAATTAAAAAAGTGAGACAGAGATGGCCCGAGACACACCATCTGTGGGGGTTCCTTTTTTTGTCAACCGTTATTTTCCATTTCCCATTTCGTTTCTACCGTTTATTTGTATTTCTTTGCAGGACATTTCTGCTTCTTCTTCTTCTCGGGTTCTTTTTGTATGTTTCTGATTCAGAGGAGAGCAGCATGAGAGCAGGCGAAGTTGGCCATCTCGTTTGCACTTGAGCTTGGGGGGTTTTTTCTGTGTGTTTTTTTTTTTTTGTGCGCCCGGGGGCGTTCGTTTTCAGATATTCGTTTCGTTTTTCGGATGCTTATAAATAGCATTGCTTATAAATTCTGGTCTCGCACCTTTGCCACCTCCACACACACATACACTTAGATTTATATATGTATATACGACTCACACATTGTATATCCCGTTAATGCGATGGGTGTGTTCGCTTTGCTCTGTCGTTCATTTCTCTTTTTTTTTCTATTATTTGTCTTCGTTCTGCGTTTCTTTTGACGATTGCGAACCAATCGCATTTCTCCATTTCTCTCCGATTGTTTCGCACACATACATACATAGACTGCTTCTTTACTTATGTATGTATTTATGTATTGTGTTTGCTCAGGACATATGTATGTATTTATGTATGTTGTGTGTGTGTTGTATATACGAATTTTTCTTATTCGTTTCGTTTCGTTTGGGGTCTTTCCCTTTGTGGATTTCCCCCATACCACTACAATTTTCAAGTTGTTGCCGGAATATTGATGACAGCTAAAAGTTCAATATAAAATTGATTGCACCTTTGGAGTTACAGGACCTTTTCCGGAAAATATTTTAAAAGAATACCAAAAATATTTAAAAAACACCAAAAATAAGAAATTGTCACTTTTGTATATTGAAGAATTATATTGTCAAAAGACAATGAGCACTCAGACTAAACTTTTGGAGAATTAAGCAAAATATTTATACTTTTGCATATTATTATAAATAAGGCATGAAAGAAGTCTTATTTTAGGATATTTTTAGAATATATGTTTTTACATCAAGAAAAAATTCATAAGCTAAAAATTGTATTTCAATGAAAAAAATGTTTCATTTAAGTAAAATATTGTCATAAATCGTATAATATATATGAAATATAAATTTTTTTAAAACTGTCATTGTTAAAAAAACTTAATAATTCTTTATTTGAATTAAAAAAATATTAACAGCGTTTAAGCATTATAATTTTCTTCGCCGGAAAACGAAACCCTTTCAAAACAAGCAACAACTCAAAATATAATTACTTAGCAAAGTATCGCTATACTTCGAAAGTACTACAAAAATAAATAAGAATTAATTTATGTAATTCTTTAAGTTATCATGTGATAGTTTTATTCGCAAGGTTTTTATTATCGTTGCTTAATATTATTCAAATTTAATTAGCCCGCCAAATTAGATGCTTTTGTATAGCTCAGCTCTTGTCAGCTTGTAATAGATATTTAGCAACCAGCTATGGTAAGTTAGTAAATCAGTAAAACTTGGGTCAGAATAACCAAGTTCTGAACCCCTCCGCAGCCCGTTTACAATGTAGAAAAAATATTTAATTTTACTTTCTACATATGATTTGTAATGGCGTGACGGAACTTTCAACTTTGTAAACAAGGGGCGTTTAGTGCAAATAATTCAAGTAAGGCAGTTTATTTTTTACGCTATTTTCTTTTGGTATATTTGTATTTGGAATACAAAGTTAAGCTGTTTTGTTGTTTCCCACAAACGGTTACACTATCTTTTTATTTTTTCCGAATCGCACGCTTTTTCTCCGTCTCTCGTCGGGTCGTTCGGCTAAAACCAAAATTAAACAAAATTGGCAATTAGAAAAGCGCAGCCACGGCGAAATCTAGGAGGCAGCAGCAGAACGGCGACCTGTGACGGAAGAAAGCAGTAAGAAATTCTCCAAATTTCTATCGCGGCGCGCGCGTGTTGACACACGCACACACACACACACTCAACAGAGCTGCATACACACGTGTGTGTGACGCAAAAGGAAAAAGAAGAAGAGGAGTGAGGAGCAAAGGGGAATTGACAAATAACAAAGTTTGGTGACCACTGGACTCTGCACTCGCTGTTATTGTTGCTGTTGTTTCCCTGATATTCGCCAGAGGAGGAGTTGCACCGCATGGACGAGGAAGTCATTGAAATCAGCGATAGTGAACGCGAGGAAAACTCTTCCAACTCGGAAATGGATGTGGAAATCACCGCCGAGCAGCCGGGAGTCGTTGGCGTTGATGCCAAGGGCGATGCTGCCATGGAGGAGATTGTGCCCAAGGACGCGGCCACGTGAGTAACTCATAAAATGCACCCCAAAAAAAACCGTTTCCAACAAACTGACAGTTAACAGTTACACCTGAATGTGTGTCAAAGCAGTGGCTTTGAAACTGTTTGATGTATTTATGCGAAAGTTAGTGTTATTTTTAGTACAAGGACGTTTTGTGTCAATTGCGAATATTATTTTCATGGGAATAACTAAGAATATACAGCGAGCACTAAGTACACAGGTTTAAGCATACATACATGCATATATATGTTTATATATTTTCCCAGTAAATGGAGACCGCTTTTGACAGTCATTGTCAAACTGTTGCGATAACAGCTACATATGTAGGTGTGAAAGTATGTGTTTGCAATTGCTGTTTTATGTAATCTGCTCGCGTTCTCTCTATCTCTGTCACACCCATCCTGCCTGCCTGGCGCCCCCCTCTTTGCCCCCTCCCCTGACGCACCCATTTGACATGGTCATGGGCAGCAGCCACCAAACGTAGCAAATAAATAGTGTATAAACAAATAACAGAAAAAAAATGAAAACATACCCAGCGTCAGCAGAGACGCAACAGCGACGCCGACGCACACGCCCTGCTGCAGTTACAGTGGGACTTCAATAAGAAATCAATTTAAATAACTCAAATTTTTTTTAATTCGTACAAATTATTTCTAAATTTAATTTCTTTTAATTTTACAAACACATAATACTGACTATACATTTTTATAATGCCAAAAATACATAGATTAGGATTTTATTAAACATTTATTCATTTGGAATATTTGATTTTTTTTTATACCATAAATACACTAATTAGGATTTTATTTTTATTTTCTATATTGTAAAATAGTCTGAAAATAATTTGTTCATCTATATATTAACTTTGAGATAAACATACATAAGTGCAATATTTTTTGATATTTCAAATTTTAATATATATCTTTACGAATGTTGTAATATCACATTAAAAGCTTTTTCTTCATATTATGGTGCACGTTTTTCTTAAATGTATTCCCTAGTTAATCTACAAAGTTAACATTTTCGATGTAGGAAAGCTTTACTGTAATGTCTTTGTTGTTGCTAGGTGCTCTTGGCTTTGTTCTGACTTGAAACTGGTTTTTACTTTCTGCTAGCCGCCCAGGGTTTTTTTTTCAGTTTTTGTTTTGTGTTTTGTGTGTGTGTGTGTGTGTGTGTGGGCACGTTAAATTTTGAAATTCAAGCGTCTTTGATTTCACAAGCTTGGCTTTAAGCCACAGTTTGGTAGCCATTGTTAGCTGAAAGAAAATAATCAATGAAGTTAATAGAAAAATATGAAAAGAAAGGAGTTATGAAGACTTGTTAATTATTGGAAAATAAATATAATTTTAAATAAAATTTTTCAACTTTTTAAACTAAAATTTCCTAACTAAAACCTGAAAATTTAAGCAATTTCCCTTTACCATTTTATTTCCATGGTTTTTCATGGTTATGCCCCCCAAAAAATCCCCCATTTAACATTTATATTGCGCACATTTTTGCAAATTTGCCAACATAAACAGTTATAAATTTGTCTACGCCACGCTTCACTTGCCTTTTGTATATTCTCTTCCCGATATTTTGCACAAACAAAAGCTGGAAAATAGGAAAAGAAAACAAATAACAAATCGAATTACAATTCAAGTTACTATTTGCATGCATTTAAATGTATTTTTATTTACTTATTTATTTCCGTGCTTTTGGAAAAGCGAAGTTGACATTGCACAGTTTTATGTTAGGAAATTCAGGTTTTATTTTTGGTTTCGGCTTTTCCAAATTGGATTTTGTTTGGTGCACTTGTTCTAGTATTTATTACGTTGTTTCCGTTAACTTTTGCGTCATTTTGTTATTGTTGTTTTCTGTGAGTAATGATAATGTACGTATATATAATAATAATAGATAAGATTTGTGAAAACAGACGTGGTGTGATTAATTAACAATGAGGGAATTTGTCGTCATTGGTTTTTGTTCGAGTTCTTTTTTTATTCGCAAAACACTGACCTGATCAATTCAGCTCAAAGTCAAGAACAGTCATCGCCAAAACAAAGACAAGGCCAAAAAGTTGGCAAGCCAAAAACCCACACAGAACTTGTAACATTTTGGCCAAAATGAAAACTTCAAGTGAATGAACCCAAGCGCAACACCCAAAGACTTGTAGGCCTTCAGTAAATACAGTTGAACTTCCATAAAAGGAACCTCTTTAACTAGAGAATTTGATTATTAAGATTATAAATATTTAATTCAGATTTTCTGGCTTTAGAATTCCTTACCTTTGGCTTAAATTTAAACCTCTTACTCTTAGTTTGGTGGCCTAGTAAATACTGTATCTAATTTTCATAAGTAATTCCATTTCCTTTTTCACCTGCCTTTTTCTTTGTTTGGGGTTCAAGGACTGCTACTGCTCCCAAACAGTGGAAAAATTTCTCTTGTCTGCCAAAAACTGACTCATTCCCATTGAGGGAGAAGTAAAAAAAGATATATATATGTTTATTATAACTTTTTTTGTTGTTTACTCTTACTTGGAAACTTGACAATGATGATTTTGATGATGATGGTGCTCTGAGGGAACCCGTTTATATATCTAGCGTGTGAGTCAACCTGTTGATAAATTTGAAATGTTGACCCCAATAAGTGAAAGAAATTTCCCATATATTCAACGAGGAAGCTTTTGAATTTTGTAATACAGTTGCAGCAGCATCATTTTATTGATTTTATCTGTGACATCAATTGCTTGGGAAAAAGGTGGAAAGGTGGGGGTTGTTACATATTTATAGGAAACCGGTTTGACATTTGAGCTGTGCCAAGTTCAAGGTCGTTTTGGGTGTGGCAAAGAAAAGGTTACATGGGAGAAGAGGCAATGTTTACAGCATCAGTGCATTTTTATACTTTATGAGTACTTTTCTTTTGAGTTAAAAAGAAAGATTTCTTAAACCAACACAATAGAAATTTCTTAAACCTTATTTTAAACTCAATTTCATTTGTATATATATAAACATTACCTGTTTTATATTATAAATAAATAGTTTAGAAGGTAACTTCGACTAAAAACATTACTGTATTAATTGCAAAACCGTGTTAATTTTTAACCAACTTTATTTGACCCTCAATAAAATCACACCAATCACCAATCATTGTTGCCAATCAATCAGTTCAATTATAACCATTCAGAAACTTTAAAAAATACTTCCACACCTCCAAATCAAAATGTCAAGCTGTCAAAAAGTATAAAACAACCTTCAACTCGAAGCCAATCTAAGTCTTATGAGTCACTTTTCGAACATTTTACTAAAAACTAAGCAAGTAATAATTAAGTATCGATTTTTTTGTAAGCTTGATAAGATTACAGCATTTTAAATGGGTTTTTTCCTAGTTTTAAATGATAAGCAAAACAAGTAAACATGGCTGATTAGTCTAATTCAGTTTCTGAGTTTACTTTAGGTCAGTTTTTAGTTGTTTTCATAAATGAATGCTAAAGGTTTGTTCTAGAAAATAATATATAATATATATTTGTAGATAATTATATGATTTCTATAAACTTTTTGAGCTTAATTAGGGTTCATTTTGTCTGAAAGTTTACTCAGCTTAAACTCTATTATAGTTTATCTCTCACTTCGTACTTGTTAATTAGAAAAAATACCAGAAAATAAAGTTGAATCTGTTTCTAATTTTTATACTCGTTCTCAATTCTGTTCCCATGAAACCTTAGACAAAGTTTCCCTGCAAAACCATATAAAATCTGTTGCTCTATAAACTTTCCTAGGCACACAGTTTTAGCAGCGCTTTGTTCTAATTTACTGGCTCTTAACAATGTAAGTTGCTAACAGTTTTCAGTGCTTCAGACTCATTTCAAGCTTGTTTCGACCCAAATTCAGTTGGCCAACATCCTTCTTCGTTTTCAATGTTGCCATTTGGTATTGCTTTTGGCTTAACTTTTTGGCCAATCAACACGAAACTCTCGACCAACTTCGAACAACTTCAGGCAATTAGCTTTGGGCAACTATGTGGCTCTTGAAAAAATAAGAAAAACTATTGCTCGACTCTAGGGAAAGTGGGTCAATTAATTTATTGATTCGACACGAGCCTAGAAGAGAACCCAACATAAAATAAAAACAGCAAAAAATACAGAAGCATGGGCAGTAGAATTTTGATGTGAATCTCTATTAAGAATTCTTAATTGTTCCATAGACAATTTTGAGTGACTGTGGAGACGGATGTTGTGGGCTTCTGTGAAGTGGCATTCTCTTGAAGACAATAGGAATATCATTGAATTACGTAATGTCCAACTTGTGGGGCTCGAGCATTGAACTTTTTTTGGTCAGGTAATTTTTCAATTAAGTTGAAGATTATAAAATGGGGTTTTTTGAGGTTCAAAAAGTGTGCAAATGATTTAACAAGGTCAAAAAAGATAAAAATAAAATGAAATGTTTATACTAGCTAAAAATAGTTATTCCATTAACCTAATTACATACAATTGTTGTGTCTTTTGAACGTTATTTATTATATTTTGTATCTTTATTTCATATTTATAATTTCATCATTATCATAACCTTCATATTTCATCATCTTTATATTTATTCATCTTCTCACATTATTTTTCCTCTGAGCCAGAAATCACATTAATAAGCCACTTAATTCTTATCACTTCGCATATCGTAAACATTTAGTTAAATGCATTGGAAAATTGTTCAATTTCACAAACTTAGAGCAGGTAAAACCAGATCTTTTCCATGGATCATGTGAAAAAGCTTAGGCAGCTTGTCATCTCCAACCCATGACAGTTTCCCGTCTTGTCTTCCCTTATCGGTCTGGATTGTATCTCGAAGCCAGTTTAGCCAGTCTGTGGTTGCTGTTCTTAAGCAACTTTGTAGGTTGTTTTTACACATTTGATACACTCAGAAAAATATCTATTTAACCAAGTAAGAAGCTACTGTCAGATGTTATAAATAGTGAGATATGAGGGCTCTAAAAACTAAAACTAACTAACTAAACTAAAAACTAAGAAGAT